TTACCTCTAGGTGCACGTAATGCGAATCTCTCTTATCATCTTCCCTAACAATGCAGCGGATACATGTCTCCCGAGTACGCCATGGACGGAATCTTCTCGGTGAAATCTGACGTCTTCAGCTTCGGTGTTTTGGTGCTGGAAATCGTAAGTGGCAAAAAGAACAGAGGAGTCTATCAATCTGCACACCACCTAAATCTTCTAGCACATGTAAGTGCACCAAAATGTCATCTTTTACATTATACTTCCACTTCAATGCATACATAATTCTGAACCTTAATTACGAAATCGATTTCAGGTATGGAGTCTTTGGAACGAAGGTAAAGGGCTGGAATTAGCGGATGCGTCAATGGGGCCGTCGTCGCTTCCCGTGGCCGAAGTCATGAAGTGTATAAAGGTGGGACTTTTGTGCGTTCAAGATCGACCAGAATACAGACCAACGATGTCGTCGGTGGTGGAGATGTTGGGCGGTGACTGTGCTCTCCTACCGCAACCAAGACAACCAGGTTTTATCGTTGCAAAAGATCCATCTGAAACCAATTCATCTACAAGCAAGCAAGACTCGTCCACAAACCACGTATCGATGACGATGTTGGAAGGTCGATGAGATGGATGTACTGGTAGAAAGTTATTCACACACGATGTCCTTTGTGGAGAAGCAGAGCAAAGTAGCTGCTGCTTTTGTTGACGTATAAATGTGATTTAGTCAACGCAGTATCCAATCCCAACTATCTCTGATCGTATGAGTAGGCTTCCCAGACTCTCCTTGGAGTTGGTGACATTTTGCAGATGACGTCGCCATGATCGGCTGTCGAGCTCTCACAAGAAGACGAATACTAGCGAGCGTCATAGCCGTCCATTGTTGACTCAGAGGATGCTATTGCATCCGAGAAGGATCGAGGTTGTCGTCGTCGTCTTCATCGTCATCACTATTCCAAACCACCTAAATTGTCATGGTGAGCGTGATGGAATCCTCCCGTCCATGGACAACCGAATTGAAGGAACACTACGCATCGACTCCATCTAGAAGGTCACCACACCACGGCCAGGTGTGTTGGTTGATGCATGCGATTACGTCATCCGAACACTGTGTTGACTGTTTTTACTTATCGCATATCCAATCAGTTGGTGACTTCGACTTTGTTGAGATTTGATTCAATCTAGATTGCTATCATGATCTAGTGGTTACATGATGATTTCAATAACCACTTCAATCATGATCTAGTAATTATAAGGTAGTTTCATTAACCATCATGATCTAGTAGTTATAGGGTAGTTGTCACTAGGTCTTATAAATAGGACCGTAGTTCATGTAGCAAGATATAGAGATAGAGATATTGAGATAGCAAGCAGAGAAAGATAGAGAGTCTGTGTGCATTTGGTATCTTGTAAGTGTCTTATCAATTCTCATGTTTTTAATACTACATCAGTATGCATTTGGTATATTGTAATTGTCTTATCAATTCTCTTGTTTTTAATACTACATCAGTTTTCTTGAGTCGAAAGGCTTCTTTTTACTCGTATCGTAGTATTCTGTTTTCTTCTTGCGGCTTTCAATGACAATTCCATGTCTCAACCCCTTATCCTCATCTTCTCGGGCAAAAGCTATGAGTTTTGGAGTATCAAAATGAAAACTCTATTCAAGTCTCAAGATCTTTGGGACTTCATAGAGAATGGATATGCAGATCCAAATGATGAAATTAGGCTGAGAGAGAATAGAAAGAAGGACTCAAAGGCATTGTTCTTCATTCAACAAGCTATACATGAGACGATCTTCTCAAGAATTGCAACAACGACAAACTCAAAGCAAGCTTGGTTGATACTTCAAAATGAATTTCAAGGCTCATCAAGGGTGATTACGGTAAAACTTCAAACCTTCCGTCGTGAGTTTGAAATTTTGTTCATGAAAAGTAATGAATCGGTGCAAGATTTTCTTTCTCGAGTGACTAAAATTGTTAGTCAAATGAAATCTTATGGTGAACATCTTCCTGATCATATAATTGTTGCAAAAGTTTTAAGAAGTTTAACTCCGAAATTTGATCATGTTATTACCGCAATTGAGGAATCAAAAGATTTATCTATATATTCATTTGATGAACTAATGGGTTCCTTGCAAGCACATTAAGTAAGGTTGAACATGTCACTTGAAAAAAGTGAAAAAAAAGCATTTCAGGCTAAGGGGGAGTCTTCTATTTCAAAAGAAGACAAAAAATCAATAGGAAAAGGACATGGCAGAGGAGGATTTCGTGGTAGAGGAAATGGAAGAGGAAGAGGACACTTTGATGAACAAGGGCAATCAAATTATGATCAAAATTACAAAAGTGGAATTCAATGTCACTATTGTAAAAAGTTTGGTCACATGAAAACAGATTGCTGGAATAGAGAAAAGCAAGCAAGCTATGTGGAGAAAAATGAAGAAAATAGTAAGTTATTTATGACTCATTCATAAATTCATAACATCTCAAATGATATTTGATTTTTGGATAGTGGATGTTCTAATCATATGTCAGGCATAAAATCAATTTTTAGAGATATTGATGAGACTCACAAGTTGAATGTTAGACTTGGAGATAACAAGCAAATCCAAGTGGAAGGGAAAGGAACAATTGAGGTGAAGACAAATCAAGAGAAGGTAAAATACCTTGATAATGTTTTCTTTGTTCTTACTTTATCACATAATTTGTTGAGTGTTGGACAATTAGTAAATGATGGATATTCAGTAATATTTGATGATGGTTCATGCACTATTAGAGATAAGAAATCTGGTTTGATTATAGTAAATGTTTGCATGACACAAAACAAGATGTTTCCACTTGATGTGTCAAATATTGAAAGACATGCGCTTATCACAACTCAAAAGAATGAGTCTAGTTTATGGCATTTAAGATATGGACACCTTAACATTAAAGGTTTAAGATTGTTAAGTCAAAAAGGAATGGTTTTTGGATTGCATAAGATTAATACACTTGATGTATGTGAAGGATGTATTTATGGCAAACAAAGTAGAAAATCATTTCCTATTGGAAAAGCATGGAGAGCATCTAATTGTCTTGAATTAGTTCATGCTGACTTATGTGGACCTATGAATATAAAATCATTTGGTGGAAGTCAATATTTTTTATTGTTTACGGATGATTATAATCGCATGAGTTGGGTATATTTTTTGAAATTGAAATCTGAAACATTTGATAATTTTTGAAAATTCAAGGCACTTGTAGAAAGATAAAGTGGTAGATATATAAAGACACTTCGGACAGATAGAGGTAGAGAATTTTTATCTAATGAGTTTAGTTCTTTTTGTGAAGAAAATGGTATTCACAGAATTGACAGCACCATATATACCGGAGCAAAATGGTGTAGCAGAGCGTAAGAATCGGACTGTCGTTGAAATGGCAAGAAGTTTGCTTAAAGGAAAACATCTTCCAAATCAGTTTTGGGCAGAAGCAGTTGCAACAACAGTTTATTTGTTGAATATTTCACCAACAAAGGCTGTTATGAATCAAACTCCTTTTGAGGCTTGGTATGGTATGAAATCAAGTGTTAGATATCTAAGAATTTTTTGTTGTATTACTTATGCTTTAGTGAATTCACAAAATCATCGCTTGATGAAAAATCAGAGAAATACATTTTAATTGGTTATTCTTTACGATCTAAAGCATATCGATTATATAACCATGTTAGTGGCAAAGTTATTATTAACAGAAATGTTATGTTTGATGAAAGGACAAGTTAGAATTGGGAGACCAATAAAGGTGAAACACAAATGCAGATTCCAGCAAAACTAGACACTCCGCAGAATCAAGTGACAGATCCTGCTCCAACAAATTCATCGTCAACCTCACCCAATAGCAGTTCAAATTCGGATTCCTCAGATGAAACCTCTCCAAGAAATTTCAGATCACTGACAGAAATTTATAACTCAACATTTGCGTTGTTTATTTCAGATCCTACAACTTTTGAGGAAGCAGTTAAAAAAGAGGAATGGAGAAAAGCAATGAAGAAGGAAATCAAGTCAATTGAGAAGAATGAAACTTGGGAGCTAATGGATCTACCGAAAGAAAAGAAAGTGATTGGGTTAAAATGGGTGTTCAAAACAAAATTTAAATGTAAATTATTTAGTTTCACTAATAGTGATTGTGCAGGAGCTTTAGATAATCGGAAGAGTATTTCAAGCAAGTGGAGCCATAACAAGGAAGTATTATGGAACAGATGAACAAGTTGCGGATATTCGGATACCCTCACCAAAGGTGTATGCAACTATGAATCAAGGGGGAGTGTTGAAATTTGATTCATAGTTATCTATCTAGATTGCTATCATGATCTAGTAGTTACATGATGATTTCAATAACCACTTCAATCATGATCTAGTAGTTATAAGGTGGTTTCATTAATCACCTCATGATCTAGTAGTTATAGGATAGTTGTCACTAGGTCTTATAAATAGGACCGTAGTTCATGTAGCAAGATATAGAGATAGAGATATTGAGATAGCAAGCAGAGAAAGATAGAGAGTCTGTGTGCATTTGTGTGCATTTGGTATCTTGTAAGTGTCTTATCAATTCTCTGTTTTCCATCCCCAACTGACTTGAACGAAAGAAAGCTTCCTTGCAATGTTTTCCGGACGATAATGCATTCATAAGAGTTAGCCTCCCAGAATGTGTGGTATAGTGTTTAGTCCATCACGTCATCTACGATAAGCACTCCATCAGTTGGCTTTCCTTCAGACCTTTAATTTAACCCTGCGTGGCTTTAAGAAATGCTTGGCCGGAGTCTAGAAGATTGATCTTTTAACCAGTCAAAGAACAAGAACGAAGGATCGCCAACAGAGTCCACCGTAGCCATTTGCCAAGGTGTGTGATTGGATGTCTTGGTGGATGTTGCATGCTGATGAAGACGTGTAAGCTATAGTTTTCTCTCTTGAATGCGCATTAGACATCTGTCACGGTGGGTAGAAAGAATTTAAGGGACCGTCCATAAAGCTAAGCATTCTGCAACCAAATGGTTTTCGTCGCACGTCACTTGGCTATGGACACCAACATCTTCTCTCTTCCGGTCCTTCTTTCCCTTCTCTTCTTCTCTCAACCTATCCATCGCTCTTCGGCAAGCGATACCATTTCTATCGGTCAATCTCTCTCTGGAAGCCAGACGATGATCGCCAAAGAAGGCAACTTTGAGCTGGGTTTCTTCACTCCAGGTAACTCCGGCAACTACTACGTAGGCATATGGTACAAGAAACTCCCGGGGCAGACTGTTGTTTGGGTGGCAAACAGAGACAACCCCGTCTCCAACGCCTCCGGTGCAGAGTTGCGTCTCTCCGATGATGGCAATTTAGTCGTCCTCAACAGCTTCAAAGTCCCCGTCTGGTCTTCCAACTCCACCATATCAACCTCGAACGCCAGCGTGGCGGTCCTTCTCGACACCGGAAATCTTGTGCTGAAAGATGGGTCGAACTCGTCCACTCTACTCTGGCAGAGCTTCGATCATCCCACCGACACTTGGATGCCGGGAGGATGGCTTGGAGTGAACAAGATCACAGGGGAGTACCAGAGCATCACCTCGTGGGAGAACCCGGAGAACCCTGCGACCGGGCCTTTCGCTCAGAGCATGGACCCTGACGGCTCCAACCAGTATGTTATCCTGTGGAATGGATCTGAAATCTATTGGAGTAGCGGGCTCTGGAATGGCCAGTACTTCACCGGAGTCCCTGGAACCAAAGAAAGCACTGCGTTCAACTTCACTTTCGTCGACAACCGTGACCGGAAGTTCGCTACGTACACGATCGCCGATAGTGCTTTCATAACTCGCTACGTGATCGACTCAGCCGGACAGGGCAGGCAGTGGTACTGGCTCAACACGACCCAGGAATGGCAGACAGTCTTCACGCAACCATTATCTCACTGCGATGTCTATTCTCTCTGCGGGCCCTTTGGCATCTGCAACCAGAAGAGCT